AGCAGCGGTACCCTAGAACGAAGACGGCTGGCGCTGCGAGCCGTGTGATTTTCAGAGAGACGATTTGGCCTCTCCTGGGCTCGTTTTCTTTTCTTAAACACCCGTCGGGAGAGGTGCTGAGCGACAGCAGCCCCCGCCGGTGCCCTCGGGGATGCGGAGCGTCCCTGGGCCGAGAGAAAACCAAGCCGAGGGCGTTACGGCGGCGGCAGGCGTCGGCGTAAACCTCGCGTTTTGATCCTTTCTTTATTTCAACAGAGAGACGATTTGGCCTCTCCTGGGCTCGTTTTCTTTTCTTAAACACCCGTCGGGAGAGGTGCTGAGCGACAGCAGCCCCCGCCGGTGCCCTCGGGGATGCGGAGCGTCCCTGGGCCGAGAGAAAACCAAGCCGAGGGCGTTACGGCGGCGGCAGGCGTCGGCGTAAACCTCGCGTTTTGATCCTTTCTTTATTTCAAGGAGTTGGGCAACGCTGGCAACGAAGCCGGCCGCAGGCGTCGCCATCCCGGGCGACTGCGGGTCGGCGGAGGAGGAGGTTAGTTCCGTCCTCGGTGCCACCCGCCTTCGGGAGAGGGAGACCCCGACGCCGGCCTCCCCGGGCAGCACGCTCACGCAGGGGTTCCTCGGCGGGGCCGAGGGGTTTTGCTCCTCCGGCCTCCTCCTCCTCCCGCGGCTCAGGAACGCGAGGCTGCGGGCAGACGACCTGCCGGATCTTCCACCGGTGGCGGGCCGGACCGGGGAAATCCAGAGGGATTTTGGACCACCTTAAGGACTTTCCGCCTGAGCCTTTCAGCTCCTCCGTGACAAAAATCGGATCCCGATTCCGCTCCGAAGGGAGCCGGGGCAAAGCTGCTCAAAATCCGCAGCTTCCTCCGTTCTCCGCTGCCCGCGTTTATAACCCATCGCCGACCTCCGCCCAATAATCGCTTTACAGCCAGCGTTACCGCCCCGTCGGCGGCCTCCACCCGACCCAGAGGGAGACGCCGGCGTCCCCGAGGCTCGGGGTGACACAGTCGGAACAGGCCGGGGAGTGGGGAAGCCGAAGGCCGGCATCTTCCTCACCTGCAGCAAAGGGAGCGCGGAGGGACCGGGCGGCCTGGTCACCCGTCCTCGCCCACCCCCTGTCCCCATTTTCCTTTGCCCTTCCCACATATTGCTTATTCCCGGCGTTTTTCTGACGCCGGGACCTTCGTATCTGGGCAGCCGGGCTGCCCCCGGTAACTAAAATAAACGGAGCGGGAAGGGGACGTTTACGCGGCCGAAGGGAGAGGACAGACACAAGCCGCCGGGAGCCAGAAATAAAAATCCACGATCCCCTAGGAACTGCGTAAAAAAACCTCTTCCAAGTGCGAGCACAAACGCGTAAGCAGGGGAGTTTTATCGGGGGAGAAAAAAAGAAATAATAAATCAATCCTCTCTTTTGCGAGGCGAGCGGCCCGTTCCAGGGAAGGGGCTCAACCGCGGGTCGGCCGAGAGACCCGGCGAAGCCGAACCCAAGAAAAGGCAATTTTTAGCAAAACGGCAATGAAATCAAACACGCCCCCCAAAAAAAAAAGCGCGTGGCTCTTGGCCGGAGCAGAGAGACGCCCGTCGCCACTTTAGCGAACGCGCCCGCGTTCGTACGGAAGAAAAACCACCCGGAATCCAAGCGAAAACCGTTTAAAAGGCACCCAGAGATGGGTGGGTCCAGCCTGGAGAGGCCGGAAAGGCTCAACCTAAAGTAAAAACACGACTCTCGAAACGGGGTTAGACCCCCCCCCCCCCCCCCCCCCCCCCCCCCCCCCCCCACACCCCCGCCCGCCCCCCCCCCCACCGCCGATTCTTCCTCTCCTGTCACGCACCTGCCGCCATATTCTCGCCTTTGTCGCCTTCCACTGCCGACTCCTCCTCTCCTTTAACGCAGTTGCCGCCATATTCTCGCGTTTCCGCCTTCCAGCGCCGGCTCTTCCTCTCCTTTCAGGTACGTGCCACCATATTCTCGCCTTTGTCGCCTTCCACCGCCGACTCTTCCTCTCCTGTCACGCACCTGCCGCCGT